CCCTTTTAGAATCAAACGCACAATTCCTTCCCGCTGTCAAGCAGAGCCACCTCCTCCTCCTCTGAAGCCTTGTTCAAGGCATTCTGAGAACAAAGACAGCCTTCTTCCTAAGAGAAATTACGGTGGATAAAATTGCCTCCGCCTCATTACACATACAAGGGTTGGAATCTTTTTAAAGCTTGGCCAGTTATAAATTGCAAGCCAACAGCTGCAAAACCTTCTGAAGACGATCCTATCCACAGACTCCAAGACTGCCTCAGATCTGGGACTGCAGGTGGCTCAAGCTGCCTGGGATCATTCCTCACTGGGGACCTTCAGCTTGCATAGCCACCTTCTCATGTCCTCTATTGGCTTCCTACCCTCGGATCTCCAAGCAAGTAATCACCACCCCACTCCCTTCCAGGACACCGGCCGCAGGCGTAGGAGTGAAGCAGGGTCCTGTAGACATGAGTTCTAGTCTACGGGGGACCCGGCATGCCACGTGTCCCGAAACCCAGCAGAGACTCTTAACTCTCGTTGTTTCTGGTGAGAGTCGAGACTGCTGCCCTGCTTGCCTGGAGGTCCATGCAGGGCCCTTGCAGACTAGGGAGGGATTCAAGACTTCCTGCAAGACTTCCCAGGAGGCTGGCATGTGCTCTGGGAGAGTCCTCCACTCTAGTGTGGCAGTGAAGGGAGTGAGGGACAGGCAGACCCTATCCGACATCTAGGAGGAAAGTGTATGTGTGCAGCCTGAGAGTTGCTCTTGCCTGGGTTAATTTCTATTAGTAAGTGTTGGAGTTGCTTTGACATTCTAACTGCTAATGGGAAGGCGGCATGAGGTTTGATTATTATCAGCTAATACAAGAAACCAGTCCCAAATGGGTCAATAATATATAAGTAGGTTGTGGTCTTTCAAACGCAAGAGTTCCACTGGGCGTGGTAGAGCATCCTATAATCCCTGCGCTTAGGAAGCTGAGGCAGGAGGAGTATAGAGAGTTCAAGGCCAGCCTGAGCTACCTAGTGAGATCCAGGTCAACCTGAACTAAATAGCAAGTTCTTGTTCCAGAAAAAAAAATTAAAATAATAAAATAAAATTGAAATAAGCAGTAATAACAAAAAGCAAGAATTGAATTAAGATGCAGATGAGGGAAGGCAAAGGCAGATGAAATGCTGAGTGTGGGAGGGAGAGTCTGGCCCTGTAGTAAGTACCTCCACCTCCCTGCTCAAGGCCATCCAAAGAGCATCAAAGGGCTTCCCAAGTCCCCTCATCCATTCCCCGCCAGGCCCCCAAGGCCACTGCCAACATCTCCAGACTCCATAGACGCTTCCCCAAGCAAACAGCATTTCTGCTGGGATTTCAGAACTTTAACTGTATCTGGGTTTGGACAGTGTTGTGGGTTGAAAGAAAACAGTCCCCAAAGGGAATGGCACTATTAGGTACGGCTCTGTTGGAGCAGGTGTGGCCATGCTGGAGGAAGTGTGTCACTGTGGAGATAGCTTTGAGGTCTACTATGCTCAAGCTAAGCACCGCAGCACACAGGTCACTTCCTGTTGTCTGCAGACCAAGACGTAGAACTTTCAGCTCCTCCTCCAGCACCATGTCTGCCTGCAGGTCACGATGCCACCCACCATGAAACCCCTGGCCTGTAAGCTAGCCCCAATTAAACGTTTTTCTTTATAAGAATTGCTACAGTTTAAAAAAAAAAAAAAAGTGTTGCTATGGTCACAGTGTCTCTTTACAACAATAGAAACCCTAACTAAGGCAGACACTGCTAGAACTTTCTAGGATGAAATATTGCTGAGCTGGAGAAATAGTTTTTCTTTTCAAGTCTGTCACTCTTCCAAATGTTTATGCAATCACCTCCATTATGAGAAACTCCAGACAAAGCCTAGGTGTGGGGTGGACTTGACCTTCAAGGAATGGTAGTCCACTAGGGCCAATAAAATCAGCTAACAAAATGTCCAGGCCTTGCCGAGATATAGTAGGAACCATGTATTAGGTGATCCCCACATCTTATATAACTGGGGTGCTCATAGGTGCCCTGGGGGGTGGTGATTCAATACCCATGTAGCCAGAAGGCCTTGTATTTTTCCCACCATGCCTTTGGGTCAGTGACATACAAAAGTGTTGAGGTGTTTCAAAATATAATAGCTAGATCTGGGCAGGAAGATTACAAGATTGAAGCTTCGCTTGGGCTAGTGAATTCCATGCCAGCAAGACCCTGTTCAAAAAAAAAAAAAAAAAAAAAAAAAAAAAACACCCACAAACAAATGATGGCAACAAAGGCAATATCGGAACACATGAGTATAGAATTGTGACACGGGACTGCAAAGATATAGGTGTCAATTTAAACATACAGGGGTGAGATAGCACAGTGAGTAAAGGCACTTGCCATCAAGCCTGAGCCATGAGTTCGATCCCCGGAACCCATGTGGTAGAAGGATACCTGCCACTCATGTCATAGATCATATTCATACCTTCACATAAGATAAATAAATAAATATGTAATACAAAATGAAAATAAGGGGACTGAAGAGATGGCTCAGCAGTTAAGAGCACTTGCTTCTCTTCCAGAGGACCCGAGTTCATTTCCCAGCACCTGAATTCAGCAGCTCACAACTGCCTGTAATTCCAGCTCCCTCTTCTGGCCTCCACAGGCACCAGAACACACATGGCACACACATACTCATGCATGAGTACACACACATATACTTTCATGCATGCATGAAAATAAAAAATCATAAAACTAAAACCACAAACTGTCCTGTTCAGCATGTGTTAATTAAAAAAATGCGTGCTATTTTGTATGAATGTGAATTTCCACATCCATTCCTCAATTCATACGAAAAACACACACTTCTTAAGCTGCCCCTGCAAAGAATTACTTTTTCAATGTAACAATACTGATTGCTTCTCAGCCTTCTGGATAAGATCAAGCAATCATAGCACTTCCATGGAGGAAGTGGAGCCATTGGAAGTGTCATACTTCCATCGTTGTCCCATGGGGAACCACTTTGAAAAGCAATGTGGTAGTTTCCCAAGAAGTTAAACATACATTTTCTGCACTAGCCATATTGTTCCCAAGGCCAACCTGGTCCACAAAGCAAGTCACAGCACAGCCAGGGGCAGCATAGTGAGACTCTCAAAAACAAAACAGAGAGAGGAAGAAAGACGGAAACTCACATCCACACAAAGGACATTCGTAGCAACTTTATTCATAATCGTCAAGCACCAGGAAAGGTCCAAACGTCCGCTAACAAGTCAATGGACAAACAATTTCTTGAACACTTTTTCAGTGGAGCACTTCTCTACATTAAGAGACAACTGACCAAAGCCGGGTGGTGGTGCACGCCTTTGATCCCAGCACTCGGGAGGCAGAAGCAGGTGGATCTCTGTGCGTTCCAGTCCAGCCTGGTCTACAGAGCTAGTTCCAGGACAGGCTCCAAAGCAATACAGAGAAACCCTGTCTCGAAAAAACAAAAAAGAAGAGAGAGAGAGAGAGAGAGAGAGAGAGAGCTGACTGACCCAGCAACGCGGTGAATGGCAAAGCATGCTGTTGAGGGAAGAGGTGGCTGTGGCATTCCATTAACACAGAATAGTCTAGAAACGGCAAAACTGTGAGAAGCTGATGGGAGCTCGGGACAGGGAAGACGGGCTCCAACAAAGCACAAGCCAGCTGTTAGGATGCTGGAAATGCTTTACGTCCTGTGTGCATGTGTGAATATGCATGTGTACATACGCATATGTGCGGCTGTGTGTGCTCGTGCATGCATGCACTGTGCATGTGGAGGCCGAAACTCAGTTAACACTGGGCACCTTCCTCAATTGGCTCCCACCTCTTTTTGTTTGTTTGTTTTTGTGTTTGTGTTTTTGGTTTTTTGGGGTTGTTTTTTTGTTTTGTTTTGGTTTGGTTTTTTGTTTGTTTTATGAGACAGGGTTTCTCTGTATTGTTTTCTAGCCTGTTCCTGGCACTCACTCTGTAGACTAGGCTGGCCTTGAACTCACAGAGATCTGCCTGCCTCTGCCTCTGCCTCCCAAGTGCTGGGATTAAAGGCGTGCACCACCCACATCCAGCTGACTGTACTGGTTGAACACCATGGAGACCCTCCTGTCTCTACCTCCCCAGCTTATACAGGAAAGCTATGGTACCTGGCTTCTTCTTCTTCTTCTCTTAATGCATATGTACATGGTGTTTTTAACGTGTGCAGTTGTATATGTGCTTGTGTATGTCTGTACGTGGAGGCCAGAGGACAACCTCAAGTGTCATCCTTGGGCTTTCCATCTACCTCCTTTAAAACAGGGTCTTTCCTTGGCCTGGAGCTCACTGGTTGGGTTACACTAGCCCTCCAGGGAGGCCCAGGGATCCTGGCTCTATCCACCCAGCAATGAGAGTAGATGTGTGTACCCAGCGCTCCATGTGTGTACTGGTGACTGAACTTTGATCCTCACCCTTGTGAGGCAGGCAATTTTCTAACTCAGTCATCTCTCACATGATCTTGGCCATGAATATGTGGTTGCATAGGTTTGTCAAGATTCATACGATTGTACAATTTTAACAGCAAACAATGCCTTAATAAACCAGATATTAAAAGCCATGCATGATGGTTACCTGGGAGGGGAACTGAGCCATGCTGGGGATCTAATCCAGGGTCTTACACACGTAGGCAAGCACTATATCTCTGAGCCCCACTTTGGGACCTGTTTGAACTTTTGTGCTGAGTATATAACTTACATAGCTGGTAACAATATCACTGAGGTTTTTCAATAATAAAAATGTTGTTTCTCTCAAAAGAGCACAGAGAACTCACACCAACAGCATCATGGGAGAAGGCTCACAGCACTTGTAGGAATGCCCTCTTGGTTGAGTGAGCTAGACATATACAGAGATGTATAACCTTCCGCCCACTCAAGCCTTCCTTAGTCCCTTCACCTCTTCGTCCGTTCTGATGACCCACACATTCCAAAGTGACAAGATACAAAGGCCAGGGGGCCTCCATTGAGAGTGCCACCTGTGACTCACCTCAGTGACAAAGAGTGTTCGGGGGTCAATGATGTCCAGGAAGTGCCTGAATCGACCGTAGAAGGATGTCTGGGGAAGGAAGGGACAGGAGGTCAGAGGCTGTACCTGAGCTCAGGACTCTGATACCCTCACCCACAGTCCCCAGGATTTCCCATGTGAGTCCTCATCCCAGGGCTGGGAGCTTCCCAAACTCAGCTCAGAGAGACCATTGAGATACATCGAGATGCCAGGTCAGCTCATGATGCCAGGTCAGCATGGTCTACAGAGTGAATTTCAGGACAGCCAGAGCTATGGAGAGAGGCCCACTCAGAACATAACAAAACAAAGATCCATCATGGCTGGGGCTGAAGAGACGACTCCGCCATTAAGAGCACTTTCTGCTCCTCAGAGGACTTGAGTTTGGTCCCACACCCACATCAGAGAGCTCACAACTGCCTGTAACTCGAGCTCCAGGGGATCAAATGTCCTCTCCTGGCCTCTGTGGGTACCTGCATTCACGTGTGCGCAAACACACGGACACGCAGACACATACACATCTTTAAAAAAAGATCATGACGCCTCGCCTCCAACCTTTCCTCCAGGTATCCCCTTCCCACTGTCCTGAGATCTAGTCTGGGCGCTTCTGAAGCTGGAGCGCCCAAGCACCCCTGGGTAGTGGCCACTTCCCTTGCTCAGGGACTGCAAAAAGAGCTTGCCTGTCCCTCACAGTGCCCTTCTGGAAGGTTCTGCTGTGCCCCCAGAGAGCAGCTCCCCACTGGCAGAGCCCAAGTATGGCAGCCCCAACTCACAGCCCAGGCACTCCTTCAACTGGTTGCCCTGTTGCCGTGGTGAAGTCCAGAACAAGGGGCCGGCCTTGCCTAGGAGCCTGGAAAAGGCAGGCTTTGTGGTAAGCAGGCCACAGGCATTCAAGCACAGTGAAAGGGTACCAAACAACAGAGCTCCTGGGCTTTCTGCCTGAGGCCACGGGGGCAAGACTGAGTTCAGACTGAAAAGAGGCGTTGGCTCAAGGATGAAGGGGCGAGATGCAAGTACTTGGGGGGGGGTTCACGCCTCCCTGCACTCTGGGCTTGGCCCCAAAGTCCTCCCCAGAGTCCCACAGCTCTCCAAATACCCACTCTCTGCACAGTGAAGGAAAGAGGCCTGGCCCCCACTCACCCCCTCAGTGCTCACCAGGGTAGCACACGCGACAGTAACTCCAGTCCTTGCCCTTCCCAGGTAAGACCCTGCAAGGTCCCTGAGGGAGCTCAAGGGTCTCATTCCAAGCCTGTTCTCTACGTCCATTTCTGTCCACCTGCCAGGTCTGCACGGGGCAGCCCCTTCCGACTACTTCCATCCCACCCCGCACGCACAGAGCAGAGACCAGCACCTTTAAGCCTCAGCACCTTTCCTACGCCAGAGATGTTCTTTCTTAACCGTCCACAGTCCAAGCGGCTGGAACTAGTCTCTACTTCAGACATACATACACGATGTGCATGTGTACTGTCCTGGCAAAAGTTTAGCCCTAAGAATACAAGGAGAGCCCTGCCCCCCCACTGCACTGTTTGTGAATGGACTGACAGTCCGTGAGTGTGAACACTGTATCGACTTGTTTGTTCAAGTAACAATTGCGATATGAAAATGATTATGATTTCATCAAATGCATGCCAGCAGTGATAGCCCAGTGTAATAAGGAAGGAGACAGAGAGAGGATGAATTTCTTTATGCGATGCAAAGGACTGAATCCATGGCACCGTGCGTGCTAGGGAAGTACTCTACCAACTAAGCTACAGCTCCGAGACACATGGATACAAAAGGCCCAGCTCACATCAAGTCCCTGAAAGAACCAGGGTTTCCCTCCAAGCAATGGCTGATTCCTTCTTGTGGGAAAGAGATAAGATGAAGCTAACACATTTTGTGGTCCCAGAAAGTGGTGAAGTGGCTGGAAAGGTGCCTCAAAGATTAAGAGCACCTGTTGCTCTTGCAGAGAAGATGGGTTTATTTCCCAGCACCCACATGGCGGCTCGCAATTATCCACGACTCCAGTTCCGGGGGACCCAACAGGGCAGACATACATGCACAAGAAACACCCATATACATAAAAAAAATGAAATAATAATACTGTATCCATGTTGAATTCCCTGAGCATGGTGATCGTATGAGAGTTACAGAGTCCTTGTGCTGTAGCAACGGGGCGAAGGAGCGTGACCTATTCTCAAGTAGATAAAAGTAAGATAAGATCAAAGGTTTTGCAGCCACAAAAGCAGACAAGCGGGTGCTATTGCTTCATTTTCTTCTAGAATGAAGATGTCCTTAGTAGTAGCGCATAGCTCTGCTGTGTTTCCGGACTTCCAGGTCACCTTTAGATAATGGTGGCTGTAAGTGCCCCTTGAATAGACAGACTAGAGATGAGCTAGGTGTGGTGGTATACACCTTTAATTCCAGCACCGAGTGTCTGGAAGCTGGACAGATCTCTTTCAGACTGAGGTTAGCCTGATCTCCATAAGAAGTTTTAGGCCAGCCAGGAGTACATGGGGAAACCCTGCCTCAAAAATGAATGAATGAATAAATAAATGCTAAAATTCTATTTTTCATGGATATAAATGCAAGCCAGTATGCTAAGCAATATATTTTTTTTCTTAAGAATTATTTTATTTTACATATATGAGTGTTTTGCCTGAGTGTACTGATATGAACCATGTTCATGCCTGGTGCCGAGGCTAGAAGACAGCATAAGGTCCCTGAAAGTGAGTTACAGACACTTGTGAGCTGCCGTGTGCTGCTGAGAACTGAACCCCGGTCCTCAAAAAGAGCAACAAGTGTTCTTAACCATCTAGCCATCTCTCCTTCCTGAGTAATAAACGCACTTGATGGTGAGCTCTAGGAGACTGGGGGTGGCGCTTAGACGCTTCCTCCTCCTCGGCTCCTGGTTTCTACTCCCAGACAGACCTGACAATGAATGTGGACTGATAAGCAGCTGATGGTCTTGAGGCTTCCTGAAGGGACAGATAGGGCACAGCTTCCAAATGAAGGTGGGATTAGAAAGAATAGCATGTCAAGGGAGATGCAGACGAGCATGGGGTGCAGGTGAGAATCTACAAGGAAGCTTGCCAGGTGATGTGACTCCTGGAAGACACATCCCCAGATGACACTTCCACTTCTGAGTCACCCAGGGGTCTTGATCCTGTCCCAAACTTCCAAAGGTCCCCTGTCCCTCGTGCACGTGCATGCACCAGGGAAGACCCAGATAAACATTTTGCTCTACAGGCCTCTGCAAATGGCTGCTGAGCCAGGCCTGGGCAAAAGTACACTGCACACACCTTGCAGTTACTCAGAGCAATCAAGAAATGACTGCAAAGAAATAAACCAACAAAGAGCAAAAAACACCATGATCCGTGCTCAAATGAAATGCCACAAAGTTCACCGGAGACACCCAGATCTCTTCCTGTTTCTTCCTGGAGTGAAGCAGGGGGCATGTCCAAGAAGCCAGGGCCCAGAGGCTGTGGTCAGAAATTGATGCCTAGATTCTCATCCATGTAGAACTATGTACCGAGAACCTACTGTGTGTTCCACACTGTGCCAGCAGTTAGAGGGTATAAAAGCTCACTGACCACAAGAGATTGAGGAAGAATACTCATGGGATGGTAGTGCTCTGACTACAGTCTAAAGCTATTGACCAGGGTAATAAAAACAAGAAACATGCTATTGTCATGGAGAAGACTAGAAACTCTGTATAAATCAGTTACGTTTGAAATATGTAAAGGCCTTTCCAAATCTTTTCAATGTGCTTAGAAATATAGGCTGGAAACTCACAAAAGGGACCCTGAGTTGGGATGCTAAGCACACAGCCTGAGATCCCCCAGAAAACTGCCCTTGAGTCTGGCTCTTACTGACTCACTACAACAAAGAGGCTATGGGGGAGGGGGGGGAACGACACAGACTGTAGGGCGTCTGCCAGAAAAAGACAAGAACGCTACACAGAAGGTATGGCTACAGGTATGGTAGGATAGAAATGAAGCCACTCACTAACCACTTCCAAAAAAGCCAGGTTGCCAGGGCAAGAACTGACCTAAGTCCAGACTCAGACAGGACACAGGGTCTTGTTTCCATGAAGACTACAGAGTTAAGTTCAGTGTTCAGTACTGGAACCAGAAACTACTTGACACTGAATGCTTGGGTTGATGATGAAGCGAAGTGGCTTGGATCTGCCAATTAAAAGTATACACGGGAGCCAGGGATGCAGCTAAGCAGTAGAACACTCAATTGAAAGCGGTAGGCATTCAATCCCCAGTGCAATTAAAAAAAAAAAAATCAGAATAGGTTTGGGCTGAGGACCTGGCTCCAGCGGAGGAGCACTTACCTACACGAGAGAGGAACACAAAAGGAAAATGTGCACGTTTCATTCTTTCTTAAGTATATATACACACATATGTGTGTTCATTTATGGGAATGCCTGCTTGCATAAATCTATGAGCTACATGTGTGCAAATGCTCATGGAGGCCAGAGGGCCAGCATCAGGTGTCCTGGAACTAGTTACAGGTGGTCATGAGTGCTGGGAACTGACGCTGGGTCCTCCACAAGAGCAGTAAGCACTCTTAACTGCTGAGCCGTCTTTCCAGCTCTGAGGTTTCCTTCTTGCTGACAGCACTAAAACAGCAAACTTCTGGCCAGAGCCACCATGATCTTAGAGAATGGAGTTTCTTGGGGACTGGGAGATGGATCCGCAGTTAGGACATTTGCCTTCAAGCACGTATGCTAAGTGAGTGTGGTGGTCCATATATAACTTCAGCCTTGGAAAACAGAGAAAAGGGATCCCAAAGCGAGCTGGCTACAAGACCAGCCATATAGGCAAGCTCTGGGTTTGATTGAGAAACCTTAGCTCAAAGAGTAAGATGGAAGGATGATGGAGAGTGATTCTTGGCATCAGCCTCAGGCCCCTACAAACAGGTGTACACGTGTATATGCACACAGACATACATGCAGAAACATACATACATGCAAACCATACCCCCTCACAGGAAAATGGAGGAGAAGACTGAGTTGTTTCAGGACTTAGTTGCTGGCATTAGACATGGTGTTTCTGAGTTCTGTC